GGAACAAAGTTCAACGAACACTTTCTACGTGCACCCATGAACATTCCTAATCATCTCGCGCTTCCAATAGTCCCAGAATTCGGCCACATTCGGCACAAGTGCAAAGTGGCCTTTTTTGTGAGGTTTCTTATATGTGGGCAGAAAACTCTTTGACACTTTGTAGCTGACAGTAGCCATATTGAAATTGTTAATCCGTAACGGTTGCGGTCTCTGCAAAGTTGGTGATTCAGAATGATCGATGAGAAGGGAACAGATAGTATCGAGTCGAGAAGAGAAATAAAAATGCTAAGCAGCAGAGCTATTTATCGATTATGTCGACTTCAATAGCTGTAAGTACAGAAAACGACGAACTGTCTGAATATTCATTTCGCTCTTCATATTACATGATCAATGTAACGAAGTGCTTCATGAGATCTTATCGGTCTTATTCATTTTGATTTCTGGAGGAATTCATCCCATAACGGTAGAACGAATTCCGCTGCCTGAAATGTTTCCAAATTGGACTCATTCTCTCGTGTATGTTCAAATCCCAAAAATAAATTTTCTGTTTTTTTGTATTTGAAAACATTTCGAAACTTTTTGAGTTGACAACCCTCGCAAAAATACCATCATAAGATGGTCCTTATGGCATTTTTCATGTCTGCGCTCTGGTTCCCAATAATGAAATATCACGTGTTCGACTTTTCAACGTATTTTCACCTTGTTCTACAGAGAGCTCCCATATAACCNTTCCCAATAATGAAATATCACGTGTTCGACTTTTCAACGTATTTTCACCTTGTTCTACAGAGAGCTCCCATATAACCATTCAGGTCTTTGCCATTGCATGCAGCAACGCTAGGTGGTCATGGCATAACCGAAATTCTAGCTTTCGTCAAATATTAATGGGTAGTGGGGCGTTTTCCGTCATATATTACCTTACATAACGGAAAAGTGTCTAATGAAGAGATCAGCAACGGTCTCGAATGGTTGTGGTAGCGTTCTAACCTGATAGATGGTAGCGTTTTCCTCGATAAGACGTACTATTGTTACGCCGTCAGCTTTCAGCATCTTTCTACAGAATTCGCTCACTTCTCTGGCGTCAATGTCGTCGTCGATTGTCGATTCCTTAAGGAAAGGGGATGAGTAAGATTGGATCAGGCGTTGGTTAAGAGAAGTTATAGAAAAAGCAGCGGTTACTTGGGAAGTAGAGCAATGTAGACGATCCTAAAGCATTGCGTGAAAGCATCACTGTGGAGCGTTTTGTGTGGCTTACCAGAACGGCTGTGATGAATGACCGTTGAGCATCGAACGAGAGTCGAATGAGCCAACGGAAGAGGTTGAGAATGGAAATGAAGAGGAGCATGCAGAACCACCACCATAAGAAGACGAAAATCTTCTCGTTGAACATGTTGATCTGAGGGACTTCTATTTTGATCAGTTCTTGAAGTGGAGAAATCAAAGGAAACCAATACCACGAGTACACATTGCAAGGACCATCTGTGGACGGCACCACCGAGTTCACGTACTTCTAGATCGCAAAATGTCACCTATAAATGTATT